AGATAATGATAACGCGACTTTAGCGATGATTAAAGCGATATCCTACTTAGAGAATTCTGGCAATACTGACGATAGAAATAAATATTACGATAGCAATAAAGTCACCGTTACATAATACAAATAACGATAATGATAAAACTAACGATAGCAATAACTTTAACGGTAACTGATAGCTTTAAAAATAACTGATAACTTTGACGATATCGATTCTGATAACTGTATACTCGATTTCTGATACATGCATACTAGGGCGGGTCGAAAATCGAATTTTATCCAAATCCCTTGGTAATAGTTAAAATATATTGTATCTTGAAGTCATCAACAAGCCTGAAAAATGTTAGTATTTTATTTTAATTGTAAGAGCCGGCGCATCGACCGCCAATTGACCCACAGAACACTAGTCGAATAAGACCAATTCTTATTAAAAATTCTGGGTTCAGCAAAAAGGTTTGGTGCATATTGTTAGATAATGAATCCGTTAACGCAAAAGATAAAGTCAAATATCATTACTCGCAGCCCTTTAGCTTATCGTCAATCTCAAAGTTATCTTTTTTCAATAAGTTTTTAATTGTTTTCTTTATAATTGCACTGGCTTATAATCAAAAGATGTAAAGAACAGCATTAATATTGCTGGCGTGCATTTAGGTCGCTGGTTCTAAATATTCTAATCATTTTTTAATATTAGCTATAGTTTGCGAATTTTTGCAAATTTAGGAACAGTTTCGGTAGTTCTAATAGAAAATCCATTATTTTGCATCATCGTTGAATAATTTTGTTTATGCAAGTGATTATGGGAACACTGAATAGGCACAACTTCTAGAAACACTCATTAGTTTACTTATGTTTATGCATACAATATAAAAATTGCAAATATAGGAAAATTAAACAAAAAATTGTTCAAAATTTTGTTTATTTAAAATAATTTATTTATAATCTGAACGATTTTCATCATATTATTATCATAAATCAGTAATAGTAAGTCTCGCCTTCAATTTGGTAATTACTACGTACCGATCGAGCAACATTTACCAAAGTTATATCGAAAAACTTAAGTGGATCTCCAGTTTTTTTCTAAAAAAAATGTATCTCAAATTGTGTAAAAAACGTTTAGATAAAAGAGCCGGATTACAGAAAAGTGTGCCAGGGAGAGACTTTTTTCATTCGAACTTAATGCAAAGCACTATCGTCCAATTGGAAAGTCCTCAAAAGGATTTCCCAGGATATGTTAGAGACTTTTTACATAATGCAATTAACTAAAATATTTATGTATATCTAAACACTTATTGCACGTCTCCTACTTTCATATAACGGCAAATTTAGAAACCGCGAAAAATGTGATTGTTCGTTTACTAATAAACCGCACCAATTTTCAAGACGGCATAAATGGACTTAAAATGGGCGTTTCTCACAGTAATTGTATTGTGTTCATGTATGCAAATAATTATATGCTTGAAACTACTATTAACGTATCAAACGATTCCTAATCTTTGACAATACATGTTTGATTTCATTCACCAGGATCTTGAAAACTGACCAACTCGGCGTGACCAAGTCCATGGTCCTTTTAATATTACATAAACATCCGAAAACATTAAAACGTTTGCAAATAAATATCGTCTCACCTTTTTGTATTTTTCACTTGGTTGCTGAAGTAATGAAGAATTGAAAATTGATGAGGGAAAATTATAGTTTTTGTAAGTTTTATCTTAATATCTTAAAAACTTTAAGACTTATTGAAAAATGATAAATGAACGTGAGGTACTAAATTTAATAACGCTTAATTTAATATACCGTCCTGCTTATAACAATTAACGCATTACATAGATATTACCAGCCGAAGTTTCATTTTCAAAATTCGTACACTTGGGTTCAATTGCGCGGGCTAAAGATAAGTATTAAATTAATCTTTCGTGGCCAATAACAATTGGCTAAGACCTAAGACATCATAATATTACTATTACAATACGGTCAAATGCCTTTTATTTTCCCCCATACAAAATCGACCCAGCCTAATGCATACTAATAGTGATAACAATGAATGTGAGTACGGGGAAGACCTTTTGTCACAAATAATTTTCCAATTTTCCCGAGATGCCTACCAATACCAATATCGCATAAGATAGCGATAACGACAAAAATAAAACGATAACGATAACGGCAGCTTCAACAATACCGATTATGATAACGATCACGATAATTAAAATTATAACAATAGCACCAACGGTATCGATTCTTTTAACGATCTCGTTAGAAATAACGGATATGTTAGTAAAAAGTGCAACTTTAAAGAAAACGGTAAAAATAACGATAGCAATAACTTTAACGATAACCGTTCTGATACGATTACGGTATCGATTGTGGTAACTAGTATAACAACAACCATCTCTAACGATAACGTCATCTTTTACGATAATGGCAGTGAATATGAGTACGAGGAAGATTTTGTATCATAAATTTTTTGGCATTTCCAGACTCGAGGGGTCTAGGCTATCGACCGAAGTGGCAAATATTAAGATAATTAAATGATTTTATCTTTTTCTCCTTTGATGAAAACATACAAAAGAAATGCCATTTTAGGTCGAACGTTAGCATCCGATTCTCTAAATTACCCAATAACAAAACACCTCAATTAAACTGCCACTCAGCACACACCACTCGCAAAGCAATAACTACAAACTCACGCCTGCGTCAAACTGTCATCGCTGTACATTTACCGGTGGAACAAAGCACGCTTTTTGGCGCCGCAACGCATCAAAGGTGGATAAGATTAACCGCCCTATTCCCACAACACTGACAAAATTCGTCATATAACTATTGTCACAATTACTGCGCCTAAAACACAATATAAAAATTGTTTCGCCGTTGTCACTTACTCAGTAGGTCATAACAATAAAACTGACAATTGTCATACGACAGCTTAAAATAAATTTGCGGCATAGTATTAGGCGCAGTAGTAAAGGCAATAGTCAGCCGCTGAGTTTTGTCAGTGCTGTGGGAATAGGGCGGTAACAAAGCCTGCACCACATACATACATACGCAGTCATGAGCACAAATACAATGAAGCATACATTCGCAAATCCATATGCCTGCGCACACATATCAAATCCTTTATCAGCAAAGAACCTTCAACGAAGCGATGAAGCCACAAGAATAGCCATGACGCGTCGTTGGTGTATTGTTATTGTTGTACGCTTTTAGAACTGAAGCACTTCCGAAAATGCTTTCAACAGCAAACACGCTCACATGATACATGATTCATTACAAAACATACAAAACATTTAAAGCGACAATAGTTACAACAGTGCCACTGAGGGAGAGAGTGATCCTACATGCACGGTCATGCTTGTCGCTGTGCGAACATGTGTAGGTGTTGAATGTAGGTTTTCACTTTGTGCGGTAGTGAATATGACGAATAGGGGGATGTGTAGGCGACGAAAGTTGAAAGCAATGAAATGTGTGTAAGTAATGCTTGAAATACAATACCGGCGAACGGCAAACTTCGCCGAATTGGGCGATGCTGTCGTTCACCGTTCGCCCAGCTATTTCGCCTACTTAAACAGAATTAGAGCGGTAGCGAAAACAGCTGATCCCATTTGGTCGCCTTTATAATTTGGGTGACCATATTTAGAAAAAACTAAACCATATTTAGAAATGAGGAAATGATAACAAATAAATATAATAAATATAAATGTAAAACAAAGAAAGATTATTATAAATAATTTGTTTCAAGCCAGATTTAACGAATCCACAACTATATTTTTCAAACAACAAAAAAAAAATCGTGTTTAGGTTGTTTTCTTTTAAAACTTTGAAAGCAAAACACAAATACGGCCACCTTTGGCACGCACAGCTGTCATCGCCCAGCAGGGCGATAGAAATAAATCTATCGCCATGAAACGCCGCCAAGCGAACTTCGCATTTCGCTTTGGCTGTGTTCAATTTCATATGCTTGCGGGTGTTCTAATTTTGACAGCGCGAATTTCGCTGTGGTGAGTTCGCCGTTCGCCGGCATTGTATTTCAGCTATAAGTCAGTAAGTTCTGATGCCGCCTGCTTTTTTGTCTTCGCCTTTCACGCTTTTGATGCATTAACGCGCGTGGGACTGTGCGAGGCGTCGTCGCCCATTGTAGCTTTGACGTTTGTTACGCGCGAGTGTAATAATAATTGCTTAGAGTGCTTTAGATACAATATTTCAAAGATACGTTAGTTAACACTTTGTGGCCTTTACTTAAGCCAGATTGCCGTGGAATTGTGGAAGGTTTGTGACTGGCTGGCTGGCTGGTTGTTGTTCCGTTTTTTTTTTTTCAGATTATAAATTACTCTTCCAGAAATGGCGCACGCTCAAAGGAAAATTTTGGCAAACATTACTTTAGCTGGCACTTTTAATACAATGCGTGCAAATTGGGGATTTTTTTTCTCTTTTCAATAAATAACACCGGTCAACAAAAAAGTTTTTTTTTCTTTGGGTTTCTATTCTCATGCATATTACCATTCCAGACATTAAAAAACACTTGAATATTCATTTTTAGTTCTTAGGGCTTGCTTTTGTCTGATTTAAGTCAATAAGTAGGAGAAACTAAAATTTAACATGTAAAAGTCAGACCCAAAAATCGTGTTGACTGGTGTAATTAAACGCTTACTTAAGTAAACAAGGTGAAATTTATAGATAAGTTTATGTCACTTTGATATTTAAGCTCACAAAAATAATATGCAGTAATCAGAAGTAGGATTTGCAATAGCTACAGAATATATTGTACATACACGCAAATTTATACATTTCTTCTTATCTCATCAAAAATATATTTGGAAACAATACTGAGTAAAACCAGCAGCTGTGACTTTTCCCACTACCTATGTATGCATAAAAGTCAAAATAAATTATACATAAAAGGAACATAATTCGCTTAATAGAACAATTTATCATTTCCTTAGTTTATTCAACCACACAAAAGCTCTGTATGCACAGTGATTTAACACTTTTCTTTTTCTAAATAAAAATAGCTCTTTGAATGAATGTACTAAAAGCTTTGGGCTTATATCATGTTTTCTAATTTATTTCGTTTTTTTTTTATTTCTTGCAGGCTGTCATTTTGTGCGGACGCTTTGCCTTCAGGGTAGCGAAGTCTGTTTCGATGGTAAGTGCAATTTAAAAAGCAAACTTTTTTTAGGAATTTTGTTTTTGTGCACTGCAAAAATATTGATTCTACATATTGTCACCTGAATTGCAAAAGGCTGTAACTAACAAAAATTCTTAAATTACCTTTTTGATTGATTATGATGTATTACATCGAATTGCCAGTCCCCACACCAATTTAAAAAAAAAAAACAAATTTTTTTATTCACGGCTCTTCGCATTTCAGGTGACGATATGTATGTATGTATATAACTATGTGCTCTGCTCGTACTTCTTATTTGGCACTGTGCGATTTTATCGCAGTAAAAACTGTCAATTTATAGACAAACAAAAAATATTTTTCAAAAAAAATAAAAAATTCTTAATTTTTCTACATCAAATATGTTTTGTTTTCTTACGTTCAATTTTGTTTCAATATTGTAAAATCCTTCCATTGACCTTTTTCATTCTCTAAACGCGTAGTCTGCGATTTCGGCACGACTAAAAGAAGAACTGTGAATGTTCGAATAAATCGGTGCAGCAAAACCGTATAAGTAAGTGTGTGGTTCCTCATTTAAAACTATGGTCGGCATTGTTGTAAATTTTGTCGGAACAGATTCGCACCGACCGAATCGCATAGGTGTGGGGATACCTTTACATGTAGAGTGTGTTTTTGTACGTCGAGGACTTCCCTTCTGAATTGCATTTATTGACAAGAGTGATTCTGCGTTAGATTTCGATGCTGAAATTATTATCGGTGCTAACTAGGGCGATTGACTCGGTTTTTCCAAACCGGTTCCCACTGTTTTTCAGATATCTATGGCGTTTTTTTTCGAAATCTTGATTTGTCGAATATCGAATAACCCGGATTTTTCATCGAACAAACCGGCTTTTCTCATTTCATACAAATAGTGACCTCATAAATATTTTATAATTGGCTACGTTTCTTTATACATTCCGGATAATCTCATTTCATAGCCGGAATAAACAGAATGTGTTTGAAATATACGTTAACATATCATCAGGAACGTTCTAAAGAATAAGTAAACAAAAAAGTTTATTCCAAACGTTCAGAATGAATAAAGAAATTCAGCCATTATATCCTAGGTTATTTAGGGATGAACAGTTTATCATATTTGATTCTAATAAATGAATGTTTGGCGCTTAAACGTTTTCTACGTGTTTGGGCTTCTCCACGAATTCGTGTGCTCTGCTTCTTGATGTCGTGACACAAGTGGCAGTAGCCACCGGCACGGCAGCAAGAGCACTTCTGCAAAAAAGAGTCAGAAAAAATGCAATAAAGTATTAAAAAAGTTAAAAGAAGGTCAAAAGTAAATTGTTCACAGATTTTTATTCATTTTACTTCTGATCTAAACAAAACTTTACACTTATTTTTTCCGCTCCTAAATATATATATCCATATATTGTCTGTTAATAGTTTTATTGTAATTTTTGGTTATGACTTCATACCAAAAAAAGCGTTTTCGCTGTATGAAAACCATTTAAAAAACTCGGTTTATCCGGTTGTTTCTTTATTTCAAAATCGGCGACCGGTTTTTTTTTTCAAATTTCAATCTTTCGAATAACTCGAACACCGGTTTTGGAAAGAGGCGAATAATCTAACACCCTAGTATGCTGGTTCCTTAGTAAACAGACATTTCTCCCAAATTATGACCATCAACAGTGACGTGGGTGTCAAGGTGCGAATGAGCTGACTCTTTGTTTGATGACAGGATATACTTCGTTTTGTCCTCGTTTACCACCAGACCCAATCACTTTGCTTCCTTATACAACTTGGAAAAGGCAGCACGGTTTTTGTTACCGATGATGTCGATCGGCATACACCAGCAATTACACGATCTTGAGGTAAAGTATTCCTGAGCCCTGATAAGGCCCAATCAGTTCGTTGACGGTGGGCTTTAGCCTTTCACACAATACGCTCGATAAGACCTTGTAACCAATCCTATAAATACCGGGGTCGCCTTTCTTGTGGATTGGCCAGAGCACACTTAAACTCCAGTCGTCGTATATGAGTTGAATGCTATTCGTACCTCGTCAGAATCAGGGCCACTCTACTCATACCCTCAAGGATGATATAGAAAATTTCCATTTGGAAGTAATGTAGAAACATTCCTCTTCGTTTTTTACGGAAACAAAGCAGAAGTTAAGATCCGTCATTGTTTCCTTTTCGCATTGTTTTCACTACACTTTTTAAGGAAGAAGTTTACTGTGGAACTTTTTGGATGGGCAGCGTAGTGACTACATCAAGGCGCACGTCACAAGTCGGAGGATAAACTCGGCCAAACCCTAACATATTCACCGTCAATCTACTATTATAAAGTTTGGCTTCTCAGTAGAATGTTATCGGAACAGGTTCGGAGCCCTGAATAACGATTCCTGCAGAGGAGAAATATAAACCTTTCAGAAACTCCTTTTCGAATGCCTCGCGCTTTGGAGAATGCGTTTCAGATTTTTGCCGGACTACTACGTTAAAATGTCTACTAGGGTTCGGCCGAGACTCAGGATGATTTAAAAACTTGTAGGTATAGGTCTGCTCCTCGGTATCATAATAGAAACTCTGAGTTAACTTTAACTGTCGCTGCCCTGCAAACATAACCTAATTCTCGGACAGTGACTTCGTCATACTGCGCAGCTTCCTTCTCGACATACAACGCCTCTTCATTAATATTGTTGCCGTTGAAAATATTAAGATAGCACAAAGAACATATCGCTTGTTAACTCGAGTTGCTTAAGAAAGAAATCTTCAGAAGGTTAAGTGGCTATTAAAACCAGTACAGTTTTCTTGCTAACCATTTAAAAGATGGTGTCCCGGGCGGTCATGACTCCGGGCTAGACCCATAAGTCTGCCACTTATGGTATAGAAACAAATCACCTTATGCCTAGTTTACAATAACTTAACTTAATGCTTAGTTTAGGTATACTATACACTCTCACAAGAAGCTGGTTGGATCCTAAGGTGTGTTCCAGTATTCTTTTCTTGAAAAACATCCATCGAAGGCTGATTAAAAGATTGTATTAATTTAATACCAGTATATACATACAGCGTATCAATGAAAAGTATCCGCGCAATACAAATTTTCTTACGTTCTTCTACAACAGATAACATCTTTGGAAAATGCATACCGACAACTGGCGTAGATGTTGAGGTTATTGAAAAGTAAGTACTTCCCTCATTTCAGTGTCAATATTCACGACCCTCTTCACCATCCTTTATTCATTCTCATCTACCAATTCTGAAAGAGAAAATTTAATTATCTTTTCCTCTGTCTACTCCTTCGCTTCACGCAGAACACCCCTCACGGAGGATCAATCTCACACCCTCGCCACCATGTTGGAGGAGTTGCAAGGCGCCGGACTCGGCTGGGATCACCCCTACGTGCAATGTCGCATTCAGGGTACCCTCTACTCGCTCCAGAAGCAGACTCAGCTACCACCGAACCTTTGCGCAAACCTCGCACCCACACCAACCGATATCGACCCCGCTGGCGCTATGGCATTCGTACGCTTCGCACCACCCGAGGAGGATTATGTTGACGAAGGTTACTTCTATCCAACGCTGAAGAAGCAACAGCCGTTTAGAGAAGGCAACAGCCTCAACACCATACTCCATGAGTTGCAACTGCAGGACCGTCAGCTCCGTCATGATCCACTCGAACTGGCGCATTTCGGTAAATTAGATGCACAGGATCCTCTTCCTCAAACGGCACCGAATGTAATGGATGTCTTATTAGAGAAGGAACAAGCGCGCGCACTACGTGAACAAATGGAACGCGCAGCCGAAATCGAAGCAGCAGCAGCACAGGCGAATGCCGCGCGCAACCGTTTGGAACTCTATCAGATTTTGGCCGCCTCTGAACCGGATCCGCAGCCATATCAACGCAACCCGAGCAGCGCGATAGAGAAGTTGGAGCAAGTTGTTGAGCGCGAACGGGAAGCTGCGGCGAAGGCACCAGCACCACCGCCACCAGCGCCGATTTATGTGCCCGATGAGCTGTCGAATGACTCCAATGATCTGTACTTCCCCGAACATTTTGCCTCCTTCAAACGCATCTCAGGCAAGAAGGCCAGCGCAGATAATGGCAAACCAGTGCAACGTTCATTCTTCCGCGAGTTGGCAGCCGAGCAAGGTTTGCAACAGGAACCATTGTTGGCGCGGGATTTCAGTGAAAATGCCATCGATGAAACCGATACTCTGTTGTTGCCGGGCTACAAACGCACAAGTCCAGACGATGATGCCAGCGAATCCGAACGCAAGCAAATGGCTTTCGAGGAGAGTCTCATACGCAACTCATTGACGCCGTTCGAAGAGGAAGCGATGCTCTCCTCAAACACCTATGCGCATAATGCACAGAAGCCGAGACCAGTCTTTACAGAGGGAGGTCTAGTCTATGTGCCCGAGGATGAGGAGGAGGTACGCAAAGCCAAAGCACGTGAAATACTCGCCAGCATGTTCGGTTTTACGCGACACGAGCGTTTGGATGTGAAAAAACCGGGACCTATGATCGGACCGCCGCCAAATTCCGTAGAGTCAGCGGGAAAACTGAATAAGACCGGTGAAGGTGTGAAGGCAGAGAACAAAGAGGTGTTGCCGGCGCATATTAGAGGCAGTAAGGAGAGCAGCAAAATGAAGAAGGTGCTGAAGGAACATTCCGATGAAGATCATGCTCCGCACACTGTCGACACTGAATATGCGCATGTGTTCGTTAAGAACCCGTAAGTGCCGCAAAGTATAACAGTCTACGTTTTATAAACATTTTTTTTTTTTTTTACAGCATCGACAGCTGGAGTGACGGTGTGCGCATAATGAACGAACTGGCCAATATACTACATATGCAAGGATACTTCATTTATTTAACGTGAGTCACATTTCACCTTGGCTAATTCTGCTTGAAAAGTAATCGTTCTTTGCTTTTCTCTTCCCTCCACAGCGTTCAACCGCACGAAGTCTCTTTCCGGGTGGACTCAAACAACCCCGAACACAAGACCGCCGCCGATATAGCGCGCATTATTAACGACAATCGTGGCGTCAAAAATAAAATCTTACGCCGCATAGGCGTCACGGTGCTCCATGCTGGCGTTGGCGACAAAATCAAGGACGATTTGGACGGCGTTACAGCGTCGCGCATTGAACTTGCCGAGCAGGGACCCGATGTGACACACATTATGGCTTACATGTTTGCCGGTGCTGGCGCTGCTGCGTTCATTGTTATCTTCGTCACGCTAATACTGATTAAGCGACACGACAAGAAACGCGACAAGTTGGGTGGTCTCCAGTCAGGCGTTGCTGGCGCAGAGAGTTGCAGCAAAGACTATCAGGATTTGTGTCGTGCACGCATGGCGGGCAAGGGCAGTACGCCAGAGCCGGTGCCAAGCGGTCGTATAACGTCGTTGAGTAAGGAAAATGATCGCCCGCCCTCGTCGCGTTCGAGCACCTCTTCATGGAGCGAGGAACCGGCGCTGACAAATATGGATATCTCGACCGGACATATGGTGTTGGTGAGTTGAAGTTGGAAGTTGGAAGTTTGAGGAAATGCTCCAGCATTTTTTTAATTTACTTTCCCTTTGTCTCTCTCTCTCTCTTTCTATGTAGTCTTACATGGAAGATCATTTGCGCAACAAAGGCCGTTTGCAACGGGAATGGGAAGCCTTGTGCCGCTATGAAGCCGAACCGAGCGCACGCGATGCAGCACAACAGCCGCAATGCGTAAATTTGAATCGACCAGGCGCTCCGCTGCCCTATGAC